CCCCCGTCTTGCACAGTGAGAGCCCCTCACCTCCAGCAGAGGAGAGAAAAGCAGAAACTCCGCTCTCGAAGCAGAGTGGAAGCAGCAAGAAGCTGGCTGAGGCATGAACCTCCGGCTTCACAAGGCCAGGATAAGGAGTGCCCATACCCTAAGCGTGCTGCCTGTGCCCCCTGCTTAGGGGAGTGAGGGGGGGTCCCTGCCTACCCAGCACCGAAAACTCCATGGGAACAGGCTGAGGATGGCCCTCATCCCACGTCCCCTTTGCGTTGGATGAGGTTTGTGGATGACACCAACCACCTTATTCATTCTGACTGCTCCCCTCAGCCTGGGGCTGGGAGGGATGGGGGTGGAGACAGGACAAGGAGGGGAGACAGGGAGTTGGGAGGGCATGGTGCCAACTTCCACCTTGACTCTCCCCACTTCCTGACCTGTGGTCCCATGGCCTCTCCCACCCCAAAGCCCCTCCGGTTCAGTCCTTCTCTTGGGCAGTACTGTCCTCAGAAATGCCCTGGGCAGCCAGTTCAGCCAGCACATTATCCAGGTAATTGGCATCTGGGTAGCCGTGGCCAGTGAGATTAGAGCCAAACTCTGTCTTGTGATGGACCTCATTCCAGATGACGGTATCTGACTCGCCTGTGGTGCTGGACGTACCGATGGCAAAGATGAGACGGCGATCCCAAGCCACAAGCAGCAGCTTCAGGACCTAAGACAAAAGGCAGGAGATCAGAGTCAGGCATTCAGTGGTGGTCAAAGACTACCCCTTGGGAAGTGGAGAGTCCTCCCAAGGGTCCTAGCCCCTCCTGCATCATGATGCCCTAAGCAGCACAGTGAATAGAAAGGGATTTGGAAATGGAGTCGGACCTGCAGGTTAAGTCTTGACTCTGTCATTGACTAACTGTGTGACCGTGGACAAGTTACATCACCTCTCTGAGCTTTCATTTCCTTACTTATAAAATGGCAACGGTACACTTTACCCCTGAAGGTTGTGCGCAACTTAGGGAGTACTATGTGAAAAGCACTTTCACAGTAGTGCCTGGCACATCTACTCAACAAATGCTAGGTGCGAGCATCATAGCTGCATTTTAAAAGCTGGGATCTAGGCATCCAAGGCACTTATGATCTGAGATCTTCTGAGCTATGCCCTCCCCCCCGCCAATACCACCTGAATGTGGTATTAATTGATCCACAGCTAAAGTTGTGGAATCTCTCTCCAGGGACATGGTGGAAGCGTTTTGACCTCTTCCAGGCTATTTCATATTTATTTTCTCATCTGATCCTCACAGCCACCCTTTGAGGCAGGTCTGGCAGGTGCTAATGTTATCTCTATTTTATAGGTGAGGCTCAGAGAGGTGTTAGGGCTTTGCAGAATGTTCTAATTCAGCTGCATTAGAAAAATCTTTGTTAGGATGAATGCCTGACACCCTGACCAGCTTGAAGAAGGCGCCTGGTAAGAATGCACTGGGTTCAAAACTGAATGACTATAACCATGGTGCGAGCTGGAGGTGGGGAATCTTAATAGTAATAAGAGTAGCAGGCTTTGAAACTGAGAGTTACCATTTCCTGAGTGTTTGCTTACTAAGTGCCAGGCACTGGGTCATGTAATGGTTATAATAATGGGCTAAGACAGGATACTCATTATCCCTTCTCTGCAGAAGAGGAAACAGGCTCAGAAGACAAAAGATTTGCCTTAGTCACAGCTAGAAAGTGCCAGAGGGGGCCTTGGCTTCAGGATTGCTTGACTTTCCCATCCCTGGTCTCAGTCATGTCTCTGTTGACTCTCAGGTGGGGATCAGTATAGATTTCATGGAGGAGGCTGCTTCTGAGCTGATCTCAGAGAGAGGGGAAGATATGAGGTATATTAATAGAGCAGGACGTATAGACACTGGAAATACATATCATCCGAGGTATGGATAATTAAGATTGCTGCCACCACGCTGGGCATTTTACAAACGCGACCTTCACTTAATTCTTACAACATCCTGTCCATACAGCTAGAAGTGATCACCATTCTTTTATAGATTAAGTCAACTTTACATCAGTTCCCACAGCTGGTAAATGGCAGAACTAGGATTTGAACCCAGGCTCGTCTGGCTCCAAAGCCCATGCTCTTATTACTTTGCTCTGCGAAGGAGCCCAAGGTTAGCATCTGGAAACAGCAGACAGGAGGGATAAGGGTGAGGAATTGGTGAGAGGGGACCCACACTGTAGTAGGTCTTGTAAATCAAGCAGAGAAGATTGTCCTTTGAAGAAGGAAGGGAAAGCCATCCTAACAATTTTGTATTGTTTCCTCTCACTTTATTTCTGTTAAGCAAGGAGAGTGATGCCAGAAACTGTGTTTCAGGATTACTATTCTAGTGACAGATAACTAGCTTGGCGGTGGCAGGATTAGAAAAGGATTCAAGCGGTTTGGAGGGCATTGCAGGGAGAAATGTGTGGTTCAGAGCCAGAGCCCAAGACGTTCACGTGTCCAGTTTGGTCCCAGGGATACAGAGTATGTCATTAACAGGAAGAGGGAGGCCTGGCAGAGGAGCAGCTCTTGGCAAGAGGATCCTAATTTTAACTGCAGGACTCGATGGTGGAGATGTTTAGCCAGCAGTTGGAGCTGTAGATCTCGAGCGTAGAGACGTGGCTGTTCGGGGCAAACAGGTATCAGGACTGGCCCTGACTCCTAATCTGGGAACACTGAACTGGGCACCTCTTCAGGATGATGTGGTTGATTCTCTTATTGTCCCGACCTATCTGATTCTTCCCCTCTGAGAGACTATAGCCACACTCTTTGCCAAGGGGACTCCCTGTAGGCAGGGCACCAGCTCCTTGTCTGTCTTGTCCATGACTTGCTGGGGCCTATGAAAGGTGAGTGGAAGTAACAAGCTTCCAGGAGCAGCTTTAATGGGATTGTACACTCCTGCTTGGATTCTCTCTTGGTCCTCTGCCTCATTCCACGGGAAGGGGATGGACCACGGAAGGGCGGCTCCTTTGACCTTGATTCTGAACAGGAAGCCACATGGAGCAGATGAAAGCTGACCCACAGCAGCAGCTGAGACACAGCCACTAACATGCAAAGTACATGAGAAATAAACAGTGGTTGAAGGAAGCCACTGAGATTTAGAGGTTGTTTGTTACGCAGCATGACGTAGAGAAAGCTAACAAAGGCACACCTCTTGTTCAATAAATTAACGGTTCTTTTCACTTTTGAGATCAGGGAATGATTTGAAAATCCAATGATTTTCTGGCCTTATCCACAGGAAAATGAACATGAAGTTTTAATTCTAATTTTAGAGTCCTTAGAACCACTGAAGCCTCACCAGGAATCACTAAGAATCCAGAAACCCAGTGATTTTTCCCTCTACTCTTTTGGGGAAAATCAAAGTATTCATTAAAAATAAAAAAGGAAATAAAATTCCACAAATTAAGATCCCTGCCCCAGAGCAGTGCCTCTCAAGCTTTAATATGCTGTCAGATCACTTGGGGTCTTGTTAAAATGAAGTAGGTTCTAAGGTTCTGCATTTATATCAAACTCTTAGGTGTTGTAACTGGTGCTGGTCCCAGGACCTGCCATTAGACAGCAAAGCTCTAGAGGAAGGATCCTAAAATAGATGAATTATTGCCAGTAAAATCCAGGAGACGAAAAAGCCAAAAGCCCAGGCCCCACCACCCTGCAAAAATAAAATTCTAAACATATCCATCCTACCTCTAGTTGACTTGACTATGACTTTGCTACATGGGCATCTAGAGTTACAAGAGATCCAGTTCTGTTTAGCATCGAAGGGAGCAAACTTCAGGCCCTAAGAGACAAGTAAATTCCCCAGCCCTTCGCTGAAACCTGCTCTCACCTTTCTCCCTTTCTCGCTGTCTGGAAGGTAACAGTGTCGTGGGAAGCCACGGGCGCTGAAACTTTTCCCAGGATTTGGGTGTTCTGGCCCCTGAAAGCAGAAAAAAATGAGAGCAAAGAGCATTTTTCAAAATCTTTGGGCTGCAGGGGGTGCAGGCTGTGATTGATTCAAATAATGATGAATACTAATGGCCACAGAGTCCAGACAGAGAACAGACCCAAACAGCAGTGGGAATAGTGGTTTAACACATACTCGAGTCCTTGGACCTGGCTCTGGACCCAGAGCTGCTGCCTCCCAGCTGTGTTAGCTGGAGCTGCTCTCCCTTGGGGTGTTAATTCCCCACCCCTTAAATAAGGAAGATGTGGGATTCTCACCTTGTGGGACCGTTATGAATGTTAAGGCACACGTTCAGAGCTCAGCAGCTGTTTATCACCTTCATCATCATCTATTCTGGCTCTTTTGTTTTACAAAAGAGGAAAACTGCAGCCCCAGAGGTTAAATGACTTCCGTTATGTTAATGGCTTTGCCAAAACTTAAGCCCAGGTTTCCTGAAGCATACTCTGGACTTCTTTAACCTCTAAACTACCCAGAATAACATAAGTGCCTGTGAGCTTTGAGCCAAGAGCCATGCGATCAGAATTATCTGAATGATTCTTGGGGATTTTCTCCTTTGTCCTCATGGGTTTTGGTTTGTTTTCTTATTTAACAATATACATTGGCATATTCACGACTAAAAATCTTCTGACATTTCAACTGTCATCATCCAATACCCCTATTAAGCAAGCGGTCTCAAGCCACCAGGTGGGAAAGAAACTGAAGCAGAATTTAGCCAAAAACAAGGCTTCCTAATCAGGTTCAGAATGGTCTACAGGTCCCTTTGAGAAGCTCATGAAAAATGAGGGATTTTCTCCCAGTAACAATGCACATATTTTCCCCCTACACACAACGTTTGTCTATAATTTCTGAGCACCCCTGCCCCCCACCAGAGTCTGTGAAACCCTGTTTTAAAATCCCTTCTACATGAAGCCAATATAATATTGATAATTCCACACAGCTCCTGGTACAAAAGCTCTCACACCGTAGATAAGTAACCGTATCCTGGCTGAACAAACGAATGAGCGAGTGAATGCAGGAATGAATGAATGAGTGACAAAACTTCAAGAAAACACAGATTTTCCATTTTCTCTTACAATGGACGACAGTTCCAAAATGATTTAAAAATTATGTGATTAAAACAATCTTTTAATAGCATGGTTCAGGATCATGTATGATTTTGCAAACTGAACAGCATGATGAGTACAGTGGAGTCTCAAAGAAGAGAAAGATCACAGGGAACTGAAAGAGGCAACAGTGTCTTCTGGGAGACGCGGGACTTGAAGGTTCTGAATTTCACATTCTTGTGAAATCACATTTACAACATTCCCACGGCCACGGCTGTTTCTAAGCCAGGCTGGACAACTGATGGCTGATTCTCACCACGGTTCTGTCCGCTCCTCTCCTGCCCGGGACTTGCCTGTTACGCGGCCAACACAGACACCTGCTTGGCACCAGCCCAGCAAGGCTGTGTGCTCCCTGCACGGTGCTAAGCTCAGCAGTCACGACTCTGCCTTGGTCCCGCTCAGAGTTTCTCCCCCAGAGAATCATCGTCTGCAGTGAAGGCAGAGCTTAAAGGGCTTCACTCCTCATGAAAGCCCAAGCCTGTGTGGTCCCTGGGGTCTCCAGGAATGGACTCTGCCCTGAGGGCTCTGCTACCGACTCTCACGGGTGGTCTACGGAACGGCTGTAAGGACAGTGCACGGATGCATTTCCTTTGACACAAGCTTGGGGTTTTCCTAGGGGAGCCATGGCACCTCCAGAGGCAGCGGGCGGGCACCTCTATACCCTAGTGCGGGCTCCCCGTTCTTTGGTCCTGGAGTCCGGGAACAAAGAACATCCTCCAAAGTGGTTGCCCCACCCCGACTTTGCCCACGTCAGTCTGTCCTACTTCCCACCAAGGCCATTGGCTGTTTCTCGGGACTCCCGTACTCTCATTCTTGTCCCTATTATACCCGCCCTGGCAGCCCTAGAATCATACGAGAAGTCTCACTTGCCCTCACATCCAACCAAATCTCCCTGGTCCCAGCCCCTCCCTTTTTCATGACTGGAAGCTAAATTATCACAGTGGTCTCCTAATTGGTCTGTCAGGTCACCCCCCCACTCTTTTGCCAGACTGGCCTTCCTAAAGCATCTTCCCAACCACATGACTTTCCATAATCCTAACCAACGCCCGACCACCTTCAGGGACTCCCTGCCACCAGCCTGTCAAGGAGAATCTACAGCCTTCACCCCGGTGTTGAAGGCCTCCTGACCTGGCCACAGTCTCCCTTCTCTGCCCGCTCTCTCACATCCTCCTTACTCCCTCCTCCTGTCGCCTACTTTGGCAAATCTTAACCCAAATTAAACTCTTCCTTACGCGCCTTCCACACCCCCTCTTTCTCTCCCTTGGCAACTCTGCTGTGTCCTCCAACTAAAAACACTCTCCTTTATTTCTGCATGTCTTTCCTCTACTAGTGAGTACCCTGCCCCCAGAAAGCCTCCTCCAACCCTCCCAGACGGACAGACATAGGCCCTCTTCCTTACCCTGACATGTAAGATACTCATTAATGATGGAGACCAGGTACCGAGCACCTTGGTTCTGTACCCTGGACCACAATATGCACATATAAACATTATCGCTCATCTTTACAAAACCCCTGCACATTAGCTTCCCGGCTGTGCAGATAAAGCAACAGGGCTCAGGAAGGTCAAGTGGTCGAAGTCCAAAATCACCAGCTAAGGAGGAAATCAGCCAGGAATTGGAAGCCAGGTCCTGTCAGACGTTGAAGCCCTGTGTTGTCTGTCCACCCTGCTTCCCACAGCTTGTATCAGTGGTGCACATCAGTTTTTACTCTATAGTTTAGTGATGTGTATTTATTTCTGCCTGACTGGTTGATACGTCCTTCAAAGAAGAACCATATTTTTTTATTCAATTTTCTACAGACGATTACATCTCCCCGTTTTATTTCTTCCTTATCTCACTAGAAGGGGGACTTCAGGGAAGCAAGGACTGTGTCTGTTTAGCTCACCATTCTTTCTCTAGCATCTAGAACACGTCTGGTCCCCTGTCCACACTCAAATGTTTGTTAAACAAAAGACAAAATGGAGGAGGGCAAGGAGGAAGGAGGAAAGGAAGGTAAACTAATAAATATTTGTTAAATAAATGAATCCATTGAACACCCTAAACATTTAGAAAAAGCTTCAATGTGTGAAGGAAGGGACACGTTTGTATTTACTGCCAGGAAAATTGTTCAATATGTTCCTTAGGGCTGTCTTTTGAAGAATCAAAAGAAATGTCCACAAAAGTCAAGGATTATCTATCAAATTACAAATGCAAATACCATTTGACAAAAAAAAAAAAATCCACTTCTAGAAAATTATTCTACAGATATACTCACATGCGTGCAAGGTTATTCATGACAGCATTTTGTTGTAGCAAAAGATTGGAAACAATCCATATGCCCATCAAATGGAGACGGCTGAATATAAATTATGGTACAGTTATACAAGGGATGATTATGCAAAGCTAAGAAAGAATGTGGAAGTTCTCTCTATACTGACATGGAAAGATCTACAGACTATATTGTTCATTGAAAATGCAGGGTGTGTCCATGTCCTGGCTATTGTAAATAGTGCTGCAGTGAACATTGTGGTACATGTGGGAAGCAGCAACATAGCACAGGGAGATCAGCTCGGTGCTTCCACGACCTAGAGGGGTGGGCTGGGGAGGATGGGAGGGAGGCTCAAGAGGGAGGGGGTATGGGGACATGTGTACGCATATGGCTGATTCACTTTGTTGTACAACAGAAACTAGCACAGCACTGTGAAGCAATTATACTCCAATAAAGATCTATAAAAAAAAGAAAGAAAGTGCAGGGTGCAGAACAATATGTCTGATATGTCACCCTTTGTGTAAAGATGGGAGGAGTGGATGAAGTCTTTGTTGCAAATGCACAAAGAACCCTGAAAGGATACATAAGAAAGTGAGAACAGTGGCGGAGAGTCGGGGAGGGTGAGACGGGGTAGATGGGGGACCAGAGTGGGACAGAGACTTTTCATAGCATAACATTGTCTTAGCAGCTCTGGCTGCTATAAGAAAATAACATAAACTGGGTGGCTTGTAAACAACAGAAATTCATTTCTCACAGTTCTAGAGTCTGGGAAGTTCCAGATCAAGGTGTCGGCTGATTCAGTGTCTGGTGAGACACCACCACATAAATTGTTTGGTTTCACAGGTTCACAGCTGGAGAGGAATTGGCCTCAGAATGAATTCTACCTTGAGTCTCACCCTATCTAATGTAGATGATATTTAGATAAGACTTTGGACTGAAACTTTAAAGTGGGTGCTGGAATGTGTTAAGACTTGGGGGCTATTGGGATGGAATGAATGTATTTTGTGTGCAGGAAGGACATGAATTTGGGGAGGCCACGGGTGGAGAGCTGTAGACTGAAAGTCTGGGTCCCCCCCCTATAAATTATTATGTTGAAATCGAATCCCCAATGTGATGGTATTAGGAGATGTGGGGGGGTCCCTTGGTGGGTGATTAGGTTGTGAAGGTGAAGCCATCATGAATGGGATCAGTACCCTTATAAAAGAGACGCCAGAGAGGCTGCTCATCCCTTCTGCCATGTGAGGACACAGTAAGAAGACGGTGTACAAACCAGGAGGGGGGCTGCCACCAGACACTGAATCTGCTGGCATCTCAATCTTGAACTTCTCAGCCTCCAGAACAGTGAGAAATAAATTTCTGTTGTTTAAAAGTCATCCAGTCTGTGGGGTTTTTTTGTTTGTTTGTTACAGTAGCTTGAATGGACTGAAGACAAACACTTACCTGCAAACATTTGAACTTTAAATGATAAAAGCCAGTGGCTAAGGGGGAGGCTCACCTGAATGCCAGGGGGGATGCTATAGATGATCCGGATGGTTTTGCAGTCTGGGTGGCCAGGCAGAGAGTGGGGAATGAGGTGGTACTCCATCTTCCCTGGAGGCTGGGTTCCTGTCTTCACCCCATAAATGGTCTTACAGGTTGGACACTGCAGACTCCCATCCTGAAGAGACAAGGTCAGAGAGGAAACAGTTTTAGTAATGACCTTCCCACCCAACCCCAAAAGGTACCAGAGATAAAGGGCTCGGGTCGGGGGCAAAATGCATCCAAATGAGTAACAGACCTGAGTTGCCCCCCCCCGCCCCCCGCCCCGTGCCTGGCTACTGAGGCCATTGAAAGCTGAAGCTTTCTCCAAAGTACGAGGAGGAAAATTCCACACCAACCCCATGCTCCGTGCTAAGAGACATGTAAGAGAGACGCCATCCTTCAGAAGGAGACCAGGCTTTGTCCTGCATCTCAGGACTCTGATGGGGGGATGGTGAGGGACTCTGGGTACAGTGACGTGAGGGGTCGTGGTTTCACAGCGGGACCTGGTGACGTGTCTTCTGGAAGGCTAGGAGGAAAGCTTGGGAGAGAACCTGGACAGTAAATCCTGTTCCCAGCTTGAAAAAAGAGAGTGAGGAGAAGGGAAGCGTGGGCAGGAAACAACGCGTGTACAAAGCGCTGTCACACGGCGGGGACCAGAGCTCTCCAGGACATCCAGATCTCCTCGGGGGAAGACTGGGATCCTCTGCAGGGCTATTTAAGGACGTTTCCATTCAAACTCTACTCATTTAAAGGAACAGCTTGCATTCAGGGCAATGGAAGTTACTCCGTGTGATCAAAGGATGGGAATCCAAGGCCAGTGTCCCACTCTCTGTTCTGGCCTTAACTTGCTTCGTGACCTTGGATGAATCACTCCATCCAATAAATTCTCTCTGGGCCTTTTCACCCCTCTTCTCTGTAAAGGAGATAAAAACTGCGTGCTTCAAAGTATTAGTGCAAAAGAGAATAAAGGATAGTGTCTTCAACATTTTTGAAGCACCATGGAAATAAACGCCAGAGTACTAGATTATTCTTGAATACAGTTATCAAAAAAAGGGAATAAATGTCCTAAGAAACCTCTTTAAACCGAAAATAACCTCTTCAAATGCCAAATCCCGATGAAACCTTTTTTCTTAGGGTCAGGAAATTGGGCAGAGGATACAGACACACATCGTTCACGAATAACTGAGCTCTCTGAGACAGAGAACGATCCCAAGATTGGCACTTCGGGAATTTCAACCACAGGGCTATATTAGGATGAAGGGAAAAAACATACAGCCATAATACAAAGGAGATACCAATTTGAATAACAATGCTAACAGCACCCTATAAAGTAGGGATTGTTTTATCTCCATTTTCCAGATGGAAAATGAAATGTCCGGGAGCTTGAAAATCTTGCCCAAGGTCATTTGGCTACTAAGCCGGGGTCTGAGCTTAGGTCTGCTGCCTTTACTCTTCCCACAGCAAGAGTAGTACAGAGCAGCCTCTGAAAGCCAAACATTTTTTTGGATGAATAAGCGGTTGGAGGATATCACAAAAATCTCAGACTCTGAGGCAATCCAAGCTGGGCCTGGCGAAACGAGTAGAATTCAAATTCATGCAGATGGGGAATGAAGGTTATTCCAGGCATGGGAGAGAACACGAGAAAACTCAATGGCTTAGGCATTGTAGGGAGAGAGTTATCATCTGAGGACACTCCCAGGTTCCTGGAAACCAGCTCTCTTGGACAAGACAAGTATCACGAACAGTCTTCCCCTCCTCGAACTAGGATCCTAAGGGACTTCCAGTTATACCCTGACAAACCCTTTAGTGCTTTTGAAGGGGTGGTGAAAGGTGTTTTGAAATTGTCCACCGAAAATGAATTGTAACTGAAAATCACTAGCCCTGGGAGAAGGAAGGGTGATGGGAAATCCATCCATGCCAGTATGACTGGATACTAACCCCTGGCCCATCATCATGGACCACTCCCCCCTGGGACTCTCAGGGACAGAAGTTAACACCTTTCAGACCACCACTCAGTGTGGATACAGGGGGAGAGTCGGGTAGCATAGACCAAAAGGAAGGTAAAGACAGATTTTACCAACATCATAATTTCGTGGAAAACTGATCCTGCTGAGAACAACCAAGTTCATCACTCCTGCTGCCATGGGATGACTTTGAGACTCCCCAAACCACCTGCGTGCCACTCCAATAAGGCCTCCGTGCTCTCACACCCCAGGGCCCACGTGGAAGGTGGCAGCGGCCCCACGGGCTGGCACTAACCTTGTTGCCGTTGTTGTACATGGCGACCAGGCAGTAGATGTGGTAGATGTGGCCGCATCTGGACAGCTTACCCACTAGGTCAGGCTTGACCGTCGGCTGTGGACCCTTGTAGCCCGAGGGGGTCGTGAGGCGCTCCATACAGATGGTGCAGTCCTGGGGGTGGGAGGGGACAGAGGAAAGAGGACATCAGCTCTCGATCAGCCTAGGAAGCCAAAGCGTCTCCAAGGTGGTTCCCGCGTGATCTCAGAGGTCAGGTGAGCTATTTCCTCTCCTCTTCTAGAAAGCCCACAAACCAGGGTAAACATGCCTTTGGGAATCTAAATAGAATTCTGCCTTGCTTTGCACAACAGACAAATTCCTGAAATAATTCCTCGTGGTGGTACATGTTCATTTAGGCTGGCCAACAGAATGATAACCTCCTTGGGGGCTGTGACCGACCGTCCTTCCTTGGTATCCTTCAGTGGCTTGTGGAGGAAACCAATGCTTGCTGATAGACTCACCGACAAGCTTTACTTAAATGGAACGTCTGTAAAGGAATTGTATTTGAAGCATCCTGGAGAGGCTGCTGTTTAAATAAGTCTACAACAGGATTTCTCAACCTTGGCACCATTGACATTTGGGGCCGGATAATTCTTTGCTGTGGGTGCTGTCCTGGGCCTTCCTGGGCATTGTCGGGTGTTTAGCAGCATCCTTGGCCTTTGTCTACTACATACTATCAGCATCCCCTATCCCCTCCAGTCATGTAAAATCACCTCTGGTTGAGAACTGCTGGGACATCAAGGCCATTTTAAAGTCAGTGCCCATAGCTTATCATACTGCCTTTCTTAAATTCAGACTCTCATGTTAAGGCAGTTTAGAATCAGTCAGCAGTTTGCTGAATGGGGAGGTGGGAGAGGTTAAGCTGCAGCTATCGCTCAGGACCATGAACCTGGGAGCCTGGGCGTCCTCTCTGACCAGCTCTGCACCAGTCAGGACTTAGAAAGCAGCTCCTGCCGCATCCTGCAGAAAACTCTAGCGCAGGAGATGCTTGTGGGTGACGGAGAAGGTGAACCCCGCCCCGTGTTCCCTGCAGTCACCTCGTCTGGTGGATGCCGGACTTTCTGTAGATACCTCTTGAGCACTTCTTCTGGGGTTTTACCTGTGGGGACAAGATATTCAGTGGGCCACCAAGACAAGCTGCACGTGCCAGAGAGAGGGGAGTCGTCAGCCAGGCTCAAAGCAGAAACGCCAAGCAGTTCATTGCGCAATTGGATTTAAGAACTGAAAGGGAACAGAGTGGTGGAAGATGGAGGGAGGTGGTCTGAGGAGTGGGAGGTGTTCACATCCACCTTTATCTCCTTAGGTCACTTCCCTGACAGCCCCTCGCCTAATTTCAACAAACCCACTTTTTAACTGACAGAGGTTGAGCGGGTTTCTCTTCCACATCATCGAAGAGCCTGGACCCGCCCAAACGATGCAATGAGATGACAAATGAAAGCACTCTGCATTGCAGCTCTATTTACAATAGCCCGGAGATGGAAACAACCTAAGTGTCCATCAGCGGATGAATGGATAAAGAAGATGTGGCACATATATACAGTGGAATATTACTCAGCCATAAAAAGAAACGAAATTGAGCTATTTGTAATGAGGTGGATGGACCTAGAGCCTGTCATACAGAGTGAAGTAAGTCAGAAAGAGAAAGACAAATACCATATGCTAACACATATATATGGAATTTAAAGAAAAAAAAAGGTCATGAAGAACCTAGGGGTAAGACAGGAATAAAGACACAGACCTACTGGAGAATGGACTTGAGGATATGGGGAGGGGGAAGGGTAAGCTGTGACAAAGCGAGAGAGAGGCATGGACATATATACACTACCAAACGTAAACCAGATAGCTAGTGGGAAGCAGCCGCATAGCACAGGGAGATCAGCTCGGTGCTTTGTGACCACCTAGAGGGGAGGGATAGGGAGGGAGACGAGACGCAAGAGGGAAGAGATATGGGAACATATGTATATGTATAACTGATTCACTTTGTTGTAAAGCAGAAACTAACACACCATTGTAAAGCAATTATACTCCAATAAAGATGCTAAAAAAAAAAGAAAGAAAGAAAGTACTCTGTAGACTGTTACACATTTAAAAGCATTAGGTAGGCTTATGGCATTCCTTTTACAATGTGCTAAGTACTGTCTCAATCGGTAATGTGGAGTCAAAGTGCTATTATTTTTATGGGAAACCAGGAATTTATGACCACAGCTTCAGGACGGTCTTCTTCGGCTGTTGATGGCATGATCACTGCCAGCAGAGGTAGCCCGCCCAGCAGTAGGGGAAGGGGGGTG